TGTTTTGGGACTGATTTACTAAACAAGAACTGATTGTGTAAGAATAATAATCTTGTTTTCAGAATGTGTATGATTATTTGTCTTTTTCCCTGAAAATTTGACTCAAATGAAATAAAAAAATTCTGCCAATGGAGTAAGAAAATTTTATTTGGTAAGATTCTTGAAATAAGAAAAATTGAGTCAAATCAAGTATTTCAGGAATCTTACCAAGTAAAATTTCCTTACTTCACTGGCTGAAAATTTCGACATAATTTGAGTCAAATTTTCAGGCGAACAAGACAAATAATCTTACACATTCTGAAAACAAGATTATTATTCTTACACAATCAGTTCTTGTTTAGTAAATCAGTCTCAAAACAAGATCAAAAAGACTTTTTGGCTGATATAAGATTTTAAAACTTGGTTAGATGACAGTTTAGGTAAAATAAAATATGTTGAATGTTAACCAAGCCTGGACATTTTGGGAGCCCTATTCAATTTTTAACTTGTAGGCATGCATGYGAATCAATTAATTTAAGACTTGTTTTGTGACTTGAGCTTTCTGCAAGACGCTCAATTGCTCTGTTTGGATTTATCCGTAAGATTTTTTTTAAGGAAAACTGAGCTTTTTCTTTTGAATTACTCCAGTGTATGATGTCACACGACGGGAAACCTTCACCAAGTTGGACAACTGGCTGAACGAGCTGGAGACRTACTGTACAAGGAACGACCTCGTCAAAATGCTTGTGGGAAACAAAATTGATAAGGTTAGTGGGTTTGCAGTCAAGTACAAAATGTTTGGGTTTCTCACTCTGTTTAACAACAAGACTGGTGGATTACAAATCAGCTGTGGACAAAGATTTTGGAAGTCGGCTTCATTTGATTTTATGCTGTTTACTTAGTGGTGTTATATGTTTTTATCCCCTTGTCATGGAGCGAAGTGTGGAATTGAAAATGCCCTCCATCTGTGGTACCGACTTCCWTTTTCATTTGTGGCTGCACCTAGATATAAAAAAGGTTTCTATCAAATAATAGGTTGCTATGAGATCCAGTATATATGTAAGCAACCACCCTGACCATCTGTGGACACTCTGCTTTCTAGTTTTTGTATTCCTTATAAGTATAGTTTTCTCACATTATTTGGGTGGCCAAAGAATAATCTACCCCTGACTCCATCATTGCACCTGGTGGTAGATACAGTTGCTCCGTTCGCTCACCAAGATCTGTAACTGCTGCCTCGGACCAGCAAAATAATAAAAATAAAAAATCTACCTTTATTCTTAGACACAGTTTAACTCCTACCTATTTAAATATATCTTGTACCAAAAAAAAACTTTAGGATTAGATTAAAACTGCACTTTTTTCATACCAAAAGTACTCAGTGGGAGGAGTAAAATATTTTATCTGTGAAAATAGTTTTTCCTTTTGTTGACCCAGTAGTTGACAGTTCTGCCCAACAGACTTCTTTACCCCTCCTGTGTTTTAGGAAAACCAYGAGGTAGACCGAGCTGAAGGGCTGAAGTTTGCAAGAAAACATTCCATGCTTTTCATAGGTAAGTTTTTGCTCCACATAGACCTGCCGGGTGCATGAAATACAGCTGACAGTTACACAAGAAAACAGCCTTTAAAATACCATCCATACTTGCTGAAGATTGCCTGCATAGTTCTGTTCATAAAACAGCTTTCATAAATCCTCCTCAGCTTGCTTTAATGTCTTTGGTTTCTGTGATTTATCAGTGAAGGGTTGATTTTGAAAAGACAAATGTCTACATCGTTCTAATGTTCGTTAGGGGAAGGCCCTGTTACACTATAACGTTTTAGCTGAAATTAAGAGTTCTCTCTTTGGCTCTGAAATTCCAGTCCATGGTGCCAAAAGTGTTCCCTGCCTTTGGTATTCTGTCTTTGTAGCCTTACATCCTAAAACGTTCAGTCACTGTAAAGATGCAATTTTTTTTATCATAAAACAAACAAGATATAGTATCAATAAACATAAAATTGAACTTTTCAAAATCAGATCTTGTGCAGAGCTACTTTTAGTAATAAATCCAACACCAAGTCTCTCATGTTGGCCTCAGCTGTGTATTTACACTGCTGGAAGTTAAAACCCACCACACACACACACACACACACACACCTCCACCACCACCTTCCTAGATGGTGTTCTCAGCATGATGAGAGAAGTTAGCTTTGCTCCAGACCTTCTTTCAGTATTTCACAGGTCTCCAATGTGCCTCTCAGCCAGTTTCAATCAGTCTGCCTTTTCTTTCCTTTATGCAATGCCTTTTTCCTGGCCACTCTTCCATGAAGCTCTGTGCAGCTTATAGTGGTCCGAGTGGACAGGCTCTCTCTTCTCTGCAGAAGAGCTGCCCAGCTCCGTCAGGGTTATCTTTGTTGTTTTTTTGTTTGTTTTGTTTTTTGGTTGCATTCTAGGTAAGTGCCCTCCTTGCCTGGGCCCCAAGTTTTGGTTTATTGACCCTCTTTTGGCAGGTTTGCTGCATCGGTATAAGTATTTTCACTTTTCTAATAACGGTGCTCTGTGTCRTGTAGGATCTGAGCCTTGTGTCTGACCTGTGTGGAGAGTTCCTCGGTCTTAATGCTGTTGCTCAGTGGCAGCCCTTATTACTTTAAGGTGTTGAACAGGTGTTGATTCTGGAGGTTATCAGAACATGTGTAAATCTACAGAATATAAATATACTCAAATGAACAAGTTGTGAAATATGTCCACTTTTGTTATTCGATTGTCTCCGTCATCCACACTCCTCGCTYTCCTCCCTTCACTTTCTTGTCTTTTACAGAATATTTCCCTTTTTTTTTTCGCCTCCAACTGTTCTTGTCACTCTTCTCCCCCCCTCTCCAGAGGCGAGCGCAAAGACAAAGGACGGTGTTCAGTGTGCGTTTGAGGAGCTGGTAGAAAAGATCATCCAGACCCCTGGTTTATGGCAGAGCGAGACGCACGGCCGAGCAGTTCAGCTCACAGATGAAGACGCCGGAGGGGGAAGCTGCGGCGGCTACTGCTCCCTGATTTAGACGGCAAACGCACATAAACCAGTTCCTGTGAACATGACCCACTCAAACACACACACACACACACACACACACTCACACACTCACACTAAGAAGAAGAGCCTCCTCTTTCAGCTGAGTTTCTCAAAAAGTTGTGGACTATCCACACACTGACTTTTGCACACTTTGTAAAAACGCTGCGCTAAAATGCAAATATAGCTCAGCCTTTAGCTTAAAGATCTGTTCCTTGTTTGTTTTGAGATGGKTTTTTTTGTTTAGTTTAGGACCTTGTTCAGAGTATTACCCATCCTCATTTTATACTTGTATGAATAACTCATATCAGTTCTGTTAAATACATTTAAAGGTAGAAGCCAAAGTTGGACAAACGTGTATTATGATGATGAGAATGAGATGGTTTCTGTCTCCAGCATGCCTTTATGTTGTTCTCCGAGCACCTTGCCTTTTGCAGGCACATCTGTATCAATGCTGGGCTGATTTTTTTTTTCCTCTGCTGTGTTCAACGCTTCATCCCGTCCTTTTCCTCACAGACTCAGTACTCTGCTGCTTATGGAGAAGCTTATTGAGCCGAGCCGTGCTTCATCTCGCCACAAAGAGACATTTTCAAGTGTTTTGGAACTGTTTTTTTTTTTCTCACTTATTTCATGTATTTACTGTGTTTTGAAGAGTACATAAATCCAAGAGACTGGCACCAGTAAGCTTTCCACTGAGTGACAAAAGAAGAGTGGACTTTGTTTAAAATTGCACAGCTTTTTTTGTATTATTTTAATAGAGTGTGACTTACTGGCACGCACTCACTCAGACAGACAATATCAGAAATATCACTGGCACCACTACAGCTTTTCTATAAATCCTTTTGCCTTTTGACCAGTCAGAGACAAAGGAAAAGTGTTCAATATTAAACAGGCCAATGAGTCATCGGGGTGTTTCCACAGAATTTGGAAAATCAAAGGAAAAAGCTCTGTGTTTCTTATTGTTAATGGATTTCACAGCGCTCCCATCCCCGGGTCAGTATCTGAGAAGACAGAAGTGTACAGGATACCCCGGCCCTCTGACCATGTTTGTAATATTTAGCTGTTGGTATTTATGGAAGAACACGTAAGAGTTTTATCTCTGGATATGGTTTAATTAACATCAACATGTGTAACTTTTCAACACTGTTTTTTTTGTCATGTGTGTGGTCTTTCTTTGTGCCATTCTTTTGTTTGTCCAGAGAACTACCGTCAGCCATTTATTACAAAAACTTTAACTTATTCTTAAACCATTGCAAATAACAGAATCATTTTAATTTAATAGGATTCTAAATAAAAAGGAGTTAGGCTGTTATGCTTTTAGTAAACTGTGTTGAAACATGTATACGAAATTGTAAATTGTGTATTTTAGGACTTTGCCTGAATAACTCTTGTAAAGCTGAATGTATACATATTTCACTACAAACCGCTCTWTGTATTAAACTAAATAAACTTCTCTTTTTTTGAGTAGGGGTGACTGTTGCTGTTGATTGAGTACTGTAATTCAGTCATTTTGAAGTGGGTTTCTGTGGAAAAGTTATTAATGTGTACCTTACCTTTTGTAGATGGTTCTTTAAAATGTCTTTGATTATAGAAATCCCCTTCTGCAGACCTGGTTATACTTCACAATACATTGGATCTCAAAGATTTACTCAAGTCCTGGTAAGCTCTCCCATTGYAACGCCACAGGCAGAGGGGATGGATATTTTCTGTTAGAGTAGAAAGATCTAGTATTCCAGGGGTTAAAGAAGAGAAGCAATTTATTTATTTTTTTGTAAATTTATCACGGAGACCACCATTTTAAGCAGTGTGGGGAACGTGCCCCCTTTCCCCAACCAAAGTGCACTCTGCACAGCCAGAGAGCCTGGGTCTCCACGCAAACAAGTTTTTTTAACTAAGTGGAGACATTTATTCTCTAAATGTGACGTCCCAGTGGCTTTCTAATCCCCAAAACGTTACGACAAAGATAAGTTCACCCCAAAGATCCAGTTCCCCAGCAAAAACAGAGTAATATAGTATATGCTGTTAAGTGTCAGGAGGGCTGTGATCAGTTATACACTGGGGAAACAAAGCAACTACTGTTCAAAAGAATGAGCCAGCACAGACGAGCTACATCATCCAGTCAGGACTCTGCAGTTTACACTCATCTACAGGCCAGCGGTCACTCTTTCAGGGATGAAGATGTTCTCATCCTTGATAGAGAGGAAAGTTGGTTTGAGAGAGGAGTAAAGGAAGCCATCTTTGTGAATAAAAACCGTCCACCATTAAACAGGTGGAGGCCTTCGTGTCCAGTTGTCCTCCTTCTCCAACGCTGTCATTGCAAGTATGACTCAGCCCCCTGTGAGCAAAAGGTGTGAATCGGCCTCAATAGTCAGGTGATGGAGCACATGACCCTTTATGAACAACAGAGCCAATCAAGGCACTGATGATCTATTGTTTGGCTGATGGGCCTCTTTTGCATKTGACTAACCTGTTTGTACATGTCAAGGCAGTGCTTGTAAGGCTGGGTTCACCTGAAACTCCTCAGACCGAAGAAGTCTCTTGGAGGAGAGATGAAAAGTTTCATGAAAGAAGAACCCGTCCAGAGGACCTACTTATTTTTTCTTTTTGATTTTTCTCCCTGGATTACGGAGATGCATCAGGACATGTCTTTAAAAGTGTGCAGGCACACTGCCCTGCATGCTTTAGAGGTCTCCCTGCTTTGACACACCTGATTCAGGTGCTTGCATTTCATCAAAAGCCTGTTAATCAGTTACCAACTGAAATCAGGTGTTGAAGCAGGGAAACATCTAAAACATGCASGGCAGTGTGCCTTGAGGACCAGGGTTGAAAAACACTGCTGTAAAAACCTAGTTCTGTCAGAGAGACAATGTGCAAGATTGGTTCTCAGTGTGGTGCAAGAAGGAAAATATTTCATTTTCATGACAGCGAGACACAACGTCTCATGAACKAATTCAGAGATCTTCAACGATGGCATCGCAGAAGACCTAAAATTTTAAAAACTTTTTTAATACCCCCCCTCCCAAGTTRTGTCTTTAAATACACATGACCATGAGGCATGAAATAAAGATTTTCAGTCAGAAAGGCACACATTCAGTGAGAACACCAKCTGARTTCTGCTTCACTCRCAGCCTCCATAACTTCAGAACACAACCTAACCTAACCTACAACTTGGTTAATTAGTGCTGTGATTTGTATTAAACCTTTACACTGCTAATAACTTTGTATCACTCTTGCAGAAATATGATAGTCTCACTGGAACTCAGACTGCCTCAGTACTGCTACAGCTAGCTGCTGCTGCTGCTATTGATGGAGAACAGGTAGGAAGTTTTGGAAATTAAAGCTGTTTCAAGRTGGTTTAATCCACTTTGGTTTCGACTACATTTAGACGAGCTGTTAGCTCATCGGTCCTGTTTGACAAGCTTTATTTCCACAGWCTGCACTGTCCATCCAATCAGACAGCTTTTGACCACAAGTATAATTCTAATTATTCATAGCTTTTTCACAAAACCCCACATCAAAGTGATTGAGCTCTCCCTATAATCCACAGCTGCTGGCATCTCTTAGCCAAAAAGCCACGTTTGTATRACAGCAACCAAGCTTTGCTAAGTTGTCAGCAGAGAAGACCGATGACTCTGATGTCATGGTTGCCATGTTGGGAATGTAACTGTTAGGTGACGGGTTTTTCACTCGGAGCCGACTGCATTCCTCTCTCCTCAGAATAAAGAGGTTTGTTTAAACAGTGTTTGAGGAACACTCAGAGCCCAGACGTGTGATCTGTCTAAATCAGTGTTTTGCTGGCCAGCTTCTCRGGAAACCACAGCCATAATTCACCGTATCAGCGCATCCGTTCTGGGGCGAAAACCAAGAAGTTTGCTTTGGCAGGTTTAATAAAGCTTCTCCTTCCCGCTGTGTAGCTCCTCATCTCATGCCACTGTCTGGAGACTTGTCTAGAAATACAAATGATGGTTTCCTTATTTTTACACTGGGAGACTATCAAATATGCATCTGATTGGGAAAGAAAGTAAATTTTAAAATAGAACTCATCATTTAGTTCATTTTAACCTGTTGGGGAAGGTTCTATAAGGAAAACTGAACCACTCTWACCTATTTCTTGAGGAAAAACACCAACCAAGAATTAACATCTTTCACCAGAACTTATGTGAAAATATGGTGGTATTGGTGGAATTCCCTCCTTCTGAGTTTGATTGGTAATCTTTAATCAAATACATTATTAGGCCTCCTTCATTTGTTAAATCTKGTCAGCACAGTGGCGTGGAACAGTAGGTAGAGCTGGTCTTTTGGTGAGAAGGTTACAGGATCAGATCTTGGCCTTCCTGGGTGGAGTTTGCATGTTSTCTTTTCTAAAATAAATAGAAGTTCAGCCTAATCTTTTACAAAGATCGGGCCAAAGTGCACAGCTCAGTGTTTCTGAGCCTTTAATGAAATGGGGCCTTTGGTGTTTTTATCCATCATTACAAACTAAAACAACATAAATAGGTCTTCGCATTTATAAGTATTCTTTACCTTCTCAGTTGGAACGAAGAGACTAAATGCTTTAGGGGAAGTTTTATCCATATTGGTGCAACTGAAAAGTGGTAAAAATAGGTCTTAATTCTGCAGACCTCAAATCAAACTTTTGAAGCTTGTTTAGCATTTTTGAACAGATCTGGATTGCACATTTGGCATGGTATCAGTTACGTGTTGTCCTCAAACGGAGATATTCTGGTGTATATGATTCTATGATTTGATTGTCTATAATATTTTACTGTTTATGTACAAGGCTCACAGAAACATATTACCTTCCAACATTCAGGCAAATTTTGTTAAGAGAGACAGTTATTGTTATCTTAAGGGAATGGAAATGTTTGTGAAGCTATATTTTCATACTTGCTTGAGAGAAAGATGTACTTTAATCCAGGGTATAGTTTAATCCAGGATATAGGACTGTGGAATGGTCTGGAGGATGATGTTAAAAATGCCAGATCTATGTATATATTGAAGAGACAGATAAAAGCTAGTTTTCTGACGGTATGTGGAAAAGTAAAATGTGAAGCTATATGAATTGTTGTTTGAGTTGATGTTTTTATTTTTTATTTAGTATTGTTTTGTAAATTATGTTTCATTTGAATATATTCTGGGGATAAAAGGGGCAGACATTATAAGATTTATTCTTCTTCTGCTACCTTTCATTTTATTTAGATTTTTGACTTGTGGATTTTCTTTGTTTTTTATTGTGTATAATTATTTTTTAATGAAATTAATACATTTTTTGAACTGAAATTGAATTGAATTGAATTGAATTGAATTGAAATGAATTGAACTGAACTGAATTGAAAATACATGATGGTTGTGCATGGTCTCAGTGCTGAAATCATGTCCATTCCTCTGTGTTACTCTGTACGCCTCACATAACCCACAAAAGTCCACGCCATGATGGCTGTGCATGGAAATACTTGGATAAGGACAAAAATAACTTTTGTCACCAGAGTTTAGACCTGGATCAGAGGTAGACACATATAACTCCAGAATACAGGAGGCAAACACGAAAGAAAAAAGGGAACATAGACGAACTTTATTTTGATTTTATTGATTCCCCAACAGTTAATTGGTCAGATTGTCCCTGGGTGTGAGTGAGAGTGTGAATGGCTGGTTATCTTATTTGTGTCCCTGTAAGATTTGCAACCTGGTTGTACGCTGCCTCTCACACAGTGACTGATGGATGTGGGTGAAACCGGATCTTTTCTGCATGGCGCTGGTTGTGAGTGAAGAATTTGCCATGACACAGGTCATCTTTTGGAGAAGCGTTTTCCCCGTTAATGCTTACAACAATCACAGTGGTTACCATAGTGTTTACAGTACGATATAAGACCTATCTTAGTGACAGAAGACATTTTGTGTAATTATGGCAAAGTACAAAAATAAACTGGGCACCAGTGATCCGAAAAGAAAGAAGTACCGGGTAGGTACAGATGATGGATGGATGGATGGATGGATGGATGGATGGACTACTCCCTCACTTGAAGCTCCACATGTCACGAAACACCTGGCTTAGGGTTATTGTTGAGACTGAAAGAGATGAAGTAATGAGGCAAACTTGTAGAAACCATGTGTTCTGCCCCTCCCCGCTGTGAGCTGCTCTGCGGGGACAGTTTGACGGACTGCTTTCTGACCTGCAGTCCCAGTCTGAGCATTCATCCAGAGGCTAAGCTAACAGAGCAGGTCTGGCACCCATTAGCACACCGTCTTGTCTCTCCATGCTCCTCTGCCTGACAACAGCGGCGCGTATGGATCAGTGTTCAGATGAGCCCCACAAGAGAGCAGTCATGCTGTCATGTGTAAAAATGTTACGAGACATCGGGCATCGTTTCATAAGGTGCCGGGTTCCCAGACGTCGCTCACTTTTGTCATGCTTGTTGCCGACTTGCTAGCAGGTAATTGTTTTGCCATGCTGATGTAAGTTGCTGGAG